CAACCCAGGCATATGCCCCGACTGGGAATCGAACCGAGGTTATTTGGTTCGCAGGCCTGCCCTCAATCTACTGAGCCACACCAGCTAGGGAGGGCTAAATGACTATTTTTTGACCTCCCCAGTGACCTCTCATAAATTTAAGCCAAACTGAGTTGTGAACCCCTGGGGGCCCCACAGTGGCTGAGCCATGGCTCCATTCCTGGGTCAGTAACCTTAGGAGAGACTCAGGAAGGGGGCAGCTGGCAGGGTGGAAGGAAAGGGGTGGCCTGCTTAGTGGCTTCTCAGAGTTAGCTGGTGGAAGGAAAGCAGAGTTGAGGAGAGGGGAGGCGTTGAGAGTCAGGGCTCATACTTTTTTCCCAAGGGCAGGGCTGTGGTGAGAGGAAAGAACTGGCGGGTTAAGAGCACAGGCTCTGAGTCAGACAGAGGGAAAATGCTCTGAGCGAGGGGAGAGTCAGGGGCTTGCTGGCAACAGAGAAAGTAGGACTGACTTGTAGTCAGAGGTCATGGCACTAGAGAGCTGGCCTCGTGGTCATGACCTCTTGTCTGGACGACTGTCGCCTTGTCACGGAACACCCATCCATGTCATGCTTTTGCAGTATGGACCAACCCCTTATGGTGATGGCCCACAGAGTGGGAGGTGTTACCTAGTCAACTGCTGGGCCGTTACATTGATCGTAAGGGGGGAAATAGTGTTTGGATCACAGGAAGGTACTTGGGAGGGAAAGAGTCATGACGGCCAATGTCCTGAGTCTCAGGAACAGGCCCTCCTGTCATGGAACGTGTCTTCTGGTCAGAGGGGGATGAGCAGGATATCCACAGGGCTTCAGAAACACTTTCGTGCACGTTCTTCCAGATTTTTAAGTAAAAATGTATAGGTGCAGATGAGCAATCTATGTCTTTTATAAACATTGGACCATATCCATTTATAGCCTACTTTAAAAAATATTGGGTAATTATTTTATAACTGCCTGCTACCTCCAGTACTTGCAGAATGCTAGGAATATACAAATAAATCACAAAACTTGAAAAGGTGATATAAGTGTGACCAACATAGCCTGTCCTTTGAAAATCATATGTGATCATGAAGCCGTCTTAATTTGGCCCCAATTTTCACAGTAACATCCAAAAGGATGGGATTGTCTACCTACCTAACAATTTTTAAATTTGAAACCTACTTTTAAGGACACTTTCCCTGTCAAATACATCAGCATTTTTATCTTAATAATTTTCACTTTACTTTAAATTATTATTTTCTTTTAATTTCCCCTTAACTCTTTACTAGAAAAATTGATTCGATAGGAGAGAATAGTTGACAGCACATCCGACTGCTTCCCACCTGGACTCAGGCGTTGTGTGCACGCTAGCATCTTTGCGTCCTGTCTGGCAACGGACGACGCAGCCTGGTGGTTAATAGTGTGGAGTCTGCCGGCCGGATCTGGGGCTCGACCTTTACCATCTCTTAGCCATGTCCTCAAGTACGAGATGGGCTGATGTCTCGGAGATTTCAGGGGATTTCACGGGATGGTGTTTGGCACATAACTAACTGCTCGGCAAATGTTATTTGTGTACTACCTGCCTCTTTCCACACTCAGCCTGGAAGACAGAGACAGTGTCTGGACTGGTCTCTCCCCGCATTCATGCCCAGAACCTCCAGTGCCACTGGTCGTCCTCCCTCTGGCTCACCAAGATGTCTTTTCACCCCTCCTCTCTCCTTGGACCTGTGCTACAGTAGCCCCTTTATGCATGGTTTCACTTTCCACAGTTTCGGTCACCCATGGTCAACCACAGTCAGGAAAAATGAACTAGGAAACTCCAGACACAAACATCACTAAGTTTTAACTTGTGTGCTATGCTGAGTGGTGCAATGGAAACTTGTACTGTCCTGCCCTGTTCCGCCCAGGACAGAGCCTGTCCCTGTGTACAGTGCGTCCACACTTCATACGCTGCCTGCCCATTAGTCACTCAGGAGCTGCCTCTGTTACCAGATCCACAGTTGTGGTGTCGCACTGCCTGTGTTCATGTCACTCTTTCTGTGGCCTGACACGGTGCCACTGTGGCTCTTTGACCCACCCACTGCATCTTGTCACATGGGTGCTGGGTTGTCTCACATCATCACAAGGGTGAGTCCAGCACAGTGAGATATTCTACTGAGAGAGAAAGAGACCCCATTCTCAGAACTTGTATTATAGTACATTGTTGTAATTATTTTATCTTATTATTGGTTATTATTAATCTCTTACTGTGCCTAAGAGATTAGTATCATAGGTACTACACAGTATCATAGGTATATACGTATAGAAATATATACAGTATATATAGGGTTTGGCTCTATCTGCAGTTTCAGGCATCCACTGGGGCTCTTCTAGTATAGCCTCCACGATACAGGGGTTGATTATACTTCTTGCCCCACCTTCCCTCTAAGCTGACAACCTGCTCTTAGCTTCATGGGGAGAACAGAAGCCATCAGAAGAGGACTCACACATTCCCATCACCTCTGCCACCTCTCTTGCATCCGTACCCACATTCTGGGCCTTCATGCCTCCATTGTCAGTGACCTGGTCCCACCTCTAAGGCCAAGCCCTCTGCTCGTGCACTAGACTCATCTCCTTTTGCCTCTTCAGGGCATCGCTCTCTCCTTCTCTGGTAAATCATTCCCAAATATTACCAAAACTCCTTCCCAGGACCCCACATTCTTCCTCTGCTGTTCTCCAATTTCTTTGCTGCTCCTTAAGGCAAAGCTCTTTGACAGAGCCACCTTTACTCACACATCCATCAAAAACTCCAACGTATTCCACCATGAACTTGGTCTCAAGTTTGACTCCTTCCTCCATCACCTCCCTCACCACCACTGTGGGCCAAACCCCATGGTGCGGCTGGTACAACTGCCCCTGATTTTTCTTCTGCCTCTCTATAGTTTATTCACCATCCAGCAGTCAAAGTGATCCTTTAAAAATATCAGCCAATGTTTCCCTCTGCCTCTAACTGCAACGCCATCAACCCAGAAAAGAACCTGAAGTCTTAAGAGGCGCCTGTTCTGGATCCCCACCAGCTGCACTCCTGTGCTGTCTTCCTTCCGCGCTCAGCTCAGCCTCGGTGTTCTTGCTCTTCCTGGAACTTAGTGGGCTCCTAACCCGCCTCAGGACTTTCCCCTCGATGCCTCCTCTGCCTAGAGGTCTCTTTCCCAGACATCCACGTGGCTTACCCTTATGTGTCACTCAACTCTCTCCTCTGATGTCACTCATCAGAGAGCCTTCCTCTAGTACTCTGATTTATTTCCCTTCTGGGCACTTGTCACTGTCACAATTGTTTAATGAGTTCAGGGACTTTATTTTGTGTACTGCTGTATCCCCAATGTCTAGAATAATTCTTGGTATGTATTGGATGCTGGCATATTTGTTGAATGAATGAATCTTGTATTTTTTCTATACCCTATTAGTGCCTAGAACTGTGCTGAACACAGGCAAGTGCTTGATAAGTATTTATCAAACATAGGGTAGAAACGGCAAAATCTGTACAATGCAAACTGGGTTCTGTCGGCTTCTTGGGGCCCCTTCTCTGTGAACTGCTTCAGTGCCCCCCTTGTCTTTCATGACACCTCCTCCACTGTCACACCTCTCGTTGGCATCAGCAGGGCTCCCACGTGGCAAAACCCAATGGCCAGTGCTCTGCATCTCCACACACGCCTGTGGGTGGGACATAGCCATGCTCTTCCACATGAGATGTTTCTTCACATGGGGTGCAGTCGCCACCATCTTTCAGCTTTTCTCTACCTGACTTCTTTTTAATTTTATTTATTTAGTATTCCCCTCATTTCTATAACTTCTACTCACTAAGTATCCCAGGACTTGACCCTTTTCTCCTCTTTCGGCTCTATTTGAGCTCACCCCTCAGTGATCTCACCCAGTCTCATGGTTTTAAATGCTGTCCATGTATGAATAATTCCTCATCTCTATCTGTAGGGCAGACTCTTCTCTCTCATCCATCTTGAATGTCCAGCTGCCTCTGGAAACATCTCCCCTTCCATAGTCAATGGGCAGTGCAGACTTGTCCAAAGCAAGTTCCTGGCCCTCTCAGCTCCTCCTGCTGTCTCTTCCATCTTGAGACAGGGAAACTCCGTGGTTTTAAGTTCCTCAGGCCAAATGAAGTCATCCTTTGGATGTCACCCTCGACTCCTCTCACAATGTCACTTGTATAATCAATCAATCACATGGCTCATAGTTTGAAAATATACCCAGGATCAAACCACTTCTCACCAGTCCACTGCCACCATGCCAATCCAGCTACTGTCAGCCTTGCCTAGTTTTTTGCAATAACCTCCCAACAGGGTTTTCTACTTCCTCTCTTGAACCCCTTTTACGCAAATGAAATATCCTCCCATCTCACTTGTAGTAAGAGTCAAACTCCTTAGAAAGACTCAAAAGGCCCTACGTGATCTGCCCACCCCCAGTTATCACTGCACACCTCCGCCCACTTTCCCTCTTCCCCCTCTCCACTCCAGCTGCATTGGTTTCTGCTGTTCCTCACATAGGCCAGTCACACCCCCACCCCAAGGGCCCCTTCCTCCTTCCCCTCCCTCAGCCCTGCATCCAATGTCAGCTTCCAGAGGGTCTTTTCCCGACCCCTCTGTGTAGAAAAGTGTTTCTCCATTTCCACTCCAGCACTTACCTGTCCCTCCCTCCCTGGCTTTTCTCTGTAGCACTTATTGTCACCTAACATAGGATCGTTTTGTTTATTCATTTGTCTATATACTAGAATGTAAACTCCATGAGGACAAGGTTTTCATCTGTTTTGTCCTCCACAGTTTCCTTGGTACCAATAAAAAACTGGTTCAGTGGGTCTTGATGACCTTTCCACCTCTCTCTGGTCTCAATACCCACTTTCTCAGAAGACCAGAGAATGCACCTGATAACAGGAGGGCTTGGAAGCGATGAAAGTCAGTCTAAGGCAGTTGCACCTTAATACTTCCACGAATATCTAATATTCTGATTTTTCTTTTCCAGCTTAACACCAAAACATCCCCAGCAACCAACCAGGCACCCGGCCCAGAGGAAAAGGGTGAGTGGGGTTGGGGTGGCAGTTTGCAGAGCACGTGGATGGCACGGGCACATGAAGACAGGTAGGGCTGTAAGTCTGGAGCGCCTGAAGTCAGATGTCACAGCAATGCGGACGAGTACGACAAAGCACCAGGGTGGGACTACTGTTTCCACAGGCTTCCTTACACTCTTTCCTGAGAAGTCCATCTAGCAACATTTACTCTTAGACTCCAGGAACTGGCTCTGGAGTGGTAGGAGACAGGCACAACCATAGGAAACTACTCATCAGATGGTCCCAGCCAGTGTCTCCATCAGAAGTGGATGGACAACTGAGCACTGTGCATGAGCCCTAGACTCTGACTTGTAGGACTCAGGAACAAGTCGTGAGAGGAGACATTTGTTCCGTTGGCCCAAGAGTAGCAAAACCCCCAAGTAACTGTAACTGACTCTCAAGCCTAGGTTCCCAGATTAAAATTTCCTTTAAAATTTTTTTATTGATTGATTTTTAGAGAGAGAGAGAAGGAAGGATAGAGAGAAAGAGAGAAATTTGTCGTTCCACATATTTATGCATTCATTGGTTAATTCTTATATGTGCCCTAACCGGGGATCAAACTTGCAGCCTTGGTGTGTGCTCTAACCAACTGAGCTACATGGCTAGGGCTTCTGGACTCAAGGGAGTCAGCGAGACTGGGAGACCTCCCAGAGCCCAGCAGACAGGGCGCCCTGGAGCAAGTGGCTGGGCCATCTGGGTTTCCTCACTCCTGCATCTCTGACGCCTGGCAGGAAAGGCCGGCCCTGCCAAGAAGGCCGAGGAGGAGGAGGAAATTGACATCGACCTGACAGCCCCGGAGACAGAGAAGGCCGCCCTGGCCATTCAGGGCAAGTTCCGGAGGTTCCAAAAGAGGAAAAAGGACCCCAGCTCATGAAGCAGCAGCCTTGCCCTCACCCTGCTCCCTCTGTCCCCACTCCACTGCTCTGACTCCCACACCCCTGTGTCTCTCTGTCCCATTAGCCTTTTGTGCAGGCGAATTTGACCCTTGTATGTTATTTTCTGTGGCCCCCTCACGCCATCATGGCAGGAGAGGCACCAGGGACAGAGGGAGGGTGAAGACTCTAGTTGGCAGCTCCTTGTCTGAGGGTAGACTGGCTTCTGCTCAGGACAAGCCTCCTTGACCAGTACCTGTGCTGTCCGTGAGGTGCAAGTGGAAGAGGCTTTGAGGCTGACAGGGTCGGAGGGACCCCTGAATGGGGGAGGGTGAATAAAGGCTTCCAAGTAGGGTGCCCGAGGGTGGGACCTGTGCACCGGTCTGCCTGTCGTCACAACAGTCTCACTTCAGTTCCCCTCACACCCTCTTCACCACCCCGCCCTCCATGCTGCACCACAGTGGGGACTGGAGCCCTCTGTCCCCGTGCAGACCTGGGTCCAGCACCTCCCACAGTAGCTTGTGCCGAGTTCCACAGAAGGCAGTAGGACTGGGAGAGGCCAGGGATGGCCCTTCACCTCAGGGCTGGGACCCGGGGGGCCAAGGCAAGGACATGGGGACTCAGGAAGATTTGGGAGGAAAAGGGGTGAGGGGATGAAAGTTCGCTGTGTGGAAGATCCGACGGGCATCGCTGACCTGCCTCCTCCAACCCCCACGTCTGGCCCTACACAGACCAAGTGACCTGTGGCCCCCACCTGCCCCACCGTGCAGTCCAGACCGAAGTGGAACAGCCACTCTGTGTGATTTTAGCATGTTTCATAATTATATTAAAACATTTTTAAAACCCTCAAGTGGAGTCACCTAATCTCTTCTGTTTTTTCTTGGGAGGAGTGTGAACACTGGCCAGGGCTGGCCCAGGAGAGGGTCGTGGTGCGATGACACAGGGAACAGGTGCCCGAACACCTCCACATCGAAGCCACCCCTCCCTGCCGCCCCTGGCCAGGCCCCGGGCTTGCTCCCCCACCCACATGGTCTTCGTCTGCTGCCTCGTCACCTCAGCACCTGCTGCTATGTTGCCTACCTACCCCCACACCTACCTGTTCATCAAAGGTAGTGGCAGAAGATGACTCTGGGCCACACTAAAGACTTTAAACCATGAATTAAAGAAAATGATGGCTTTCAAGTGATTTTACATTGTTGAGAAATGGCTCCTATACATTGAAACCAGAGCCAAATGCTTGAAGATCAAGAGAGGAATGCTCTGTTTTTCCCACTGTCCTCACTCCTATTCTTCCCTCTCTTGATTCAATAATGCAAAAGTTAAAACCATGTCACAGTTGTGAATAGGAAATGAGGTGTACTACCCCTGGAAGAGAACCTACCCACAGCACGAAGCCGACCCACACCCAGGTGCCCACGGCTGCAGGGTACTAGGAGCACCGAGTGCAGAAGCACAGGAAGGCCCTCCGTTCCTGGAAGTACCTTCTCCCATGCAGAGCAAAGAAGGAAGTTTTGCATTTGGAATCTGCTCTCAGTGCAGCACAGCATCGATGGTGGCTTTCAGTCCTGGCCTCATGGGCACGGAAAAGGATAATCTCATTGCCACACCTGCTGTGAGTCCAGCATGTGCTGGTACAACAATGGCAGTCCCTGTCCCTTGTTCCCTGGAAGGTAAAGCAGGGTTCCTGGCTCCTGGAGAGGCGGCTGCGGGGAGCTGGCTCGTGTAAGGCTCTCTCCTGCAGGCTTCCGTGAGGATGATCTGGGCCCTGGTGCCGAAATGCTTCCTCCCTTTCCCATTTCCTGCTCTAGAGGCATCCTCCCCCCGCCCCGCCCTCCCACCTCTCACCTCCTCATTCATATTTTAAGGTGGGTAGCAAACAAGCTGCAGCTCTGGGAAAGAGGTCTAACCGGAAAGAGGTTAGACCCCTTCTGCAGAACCAGTGGTGGTTCTCAGCGACGATTCTGAGCCAGCCTGGCCTCTCCACCTGCTGCTCACCTCCTTCTGCCACAGGGTACTCCAACAGAGCCTCCCCTCTACAGCCCACAACTCCTCCTGTAGCCCTGGCACATGTTTGTGTCCCCCATGCCTACTGCTGGGGACGGGATCCTGAACACTGGTCACCAGGGGAGGGCTCAGCGATTTGTTTTGTGAGCAGAACCTCCACGTCCTGGGTGGGTGTCAGGGGAGTCGGGGGAGGTGAGCGCTCTTGTACTAAGTGCTCCGCAGAAGAGACAGGTTCGAGAAACAGCACAGAAGAAAGCAAATGCAGTTGTCACATCTGTGTCACTCATCACTCTTTTGTGATTTTCCAGCTGTGTTGTATCCAGAGCTGGGCTGCAGTCCCGACAAAGGTGGAGCGGTCTGGATGTCTGTGCAGGCGGGTGCTCTGGGATACGTTCCCAAAGTTCGAAGTGGGAGGTGACCTTGGGAGAAAGTCAGGCCACCAAAGGGACAAGGATCCTGCTTCCCTGACAACCTGCTGCCAGGGACTGGCTTTCGGCCTCTCAGTCTTGCCCCGGTGCAGGATCAGCTTCTCCCACCTGGGTCGTTTCCATTTCTTATTCTTGCCTTCACCTCTGCCCTCACATCCATTTGCAGTGCCCTGTCACCCTCCTCTGCCTCTCTCTCCACCCTCTCGGCCTTGCAAGAGTTGTGTGAGTGGCCCTGGCAGCTTCCTTATTCCTGCTGGACCCTCAAGCCCCACTTCTCCCTGAAAGCCCCCCAGGGAGCTGCTTCCTCCGCATCTTCACCATCCTCTCTCCAAAAGTAAACGCAGAGCTTGACACACAGCTTCGCACATAGTATGAGCCCACCGGGTGGTTGCTGGATGTTGGAATGTGTCTTGTGAGCCTATTTCAGAGTTCAGTCCGTTACACTATGTGAGCCCGTAGGTAGCCCAAAGCCAAGTTCTTCACTGACACCAGCTGAGGAGGAGGAGGAGTGGGGGCGGGGAGGGACAGGAGAAGGCAGGGGTGATTCCCAGGAGAATGAGGCAACTGGAGATGAAGCCGTAGCTTCTGGAAATGTCAGTGTTTATTAAACATATTAGGGCATTTGGGGGTTTGAGAAGAAATATACAGAATGTAGAAAAATCCTAAGAATCCCCTGTGGCTGGGAGTGCAGCCTCTTCCCTTTCTCCCTATTTCCCACTTGTTGTTCCTCCTTTCCGTTTGGTTGTTTACAAGCCATTTCTCGAGGCCCATTGGCCCCCTTTCCTCACCCCCTGACCTGTGAAGATCTCCTGTCCCTCTCCTTCCCCGTGAAGGAGACCTGGAGTCTCAGAACAGCGCCCTTGGGTGGTCAGGGCACCAATCCTGCAGCTGAGGTTTGAGGGTGAGGGGCCCCTCTGCTGGCTCTCCGAGAAGGATTTTATGGGGGTGGGGAACTACAAAATCCACACGACGTCATTGGTACTCAGTCATGGGGGGGGCAGAGCAGGGCACAGGTGCACAAACAAACACGATTGAAAAAATAAAAATAGCAACTTAAAGAAACCCTGAAGGAGAGTCTGATCTGGGTGATCCAGGTGTTAGCTAGGAGGACAGGGTGTGGAGCTGGACTGCCTGACCTGGGGCCCGGAGGGTCAGGGAGGGAAGAGGCTGAGGGGCAGGCTGGGCAGTGCAGGGGGTGGGGGTGCAGGTGGCCTGGAGTCGAGGCGCGGGGTGGCAAGGTCCCTTTCTTCTCGGTGCCGGAGGGACAGGCACCAAACACACAGTCCTTGGGGGCGGTGCAGGCTAGGATCAGGCCCTGGGCTCCCAGAAAGCCAGGGGGTGAAGGTAGGGGAGGAAATGACGTGCCTGGGGAATGAATTTTGGAACGAAACTTACATCTCAAGGTTGGTGAGGGCAGGGCGGGGCAGGGCTGGGCGCTAAGGAGGAAAGCCCCTGGACGGGGTCAGAGGAGCCTAGGTCCCCAGCTCTGGCGGGGCCTGGGCCGGTCACTTGTCCGAGTCCAGGCCCATCATGTTCTTGAGGGCGTTCTTGAGGCTGGTTCTGCTGGGGGACTTGACAGCAGGCCGGAGCTCCGAGCTCTGCTCGTCCTTCCGAAGCTCCATCTCGATGACCACCACCTGAGCGCCTTTGGAGGGCTCCGCCCCTGGCCCCCGAGCCCCCGCCCGGCCCGCCAACCGCTATTTCTTATCCTTGCGAGACTCCCCCAGCCCCTTGGACTTCTTCTCACTGGCAGCCTTGGTGCTCCTGCTGTGGTCCAGCATGGCATACAGCACGGGCGTCTGGGGGAGGGGCGCAGGTCAGTCACCCGGGCCCCCCCTCGCTGTGCCCGGCGGCGCCCAGGGCTCTCCTCCCCAGCGGTCCAGGCCCCGAGCCCCGCTAACCTGCCGGCCGCGCTTGGACGAGTCCTTCCCGATCTTGTGCAGCTTCCCCTTCTCCATGGCGCTGCAGGGACAAGAAAGGCTGTGGGTGGGGCCCCGCCGGAGGCCCTCTTCCCGGAGCTCCGCCCCACGGCGGCCTCGCGCCTACCTGAGCCTTCTCTGCAGGGCCGCCTGCCTGCGCAGCCAGCAGTACCGCACCAGGTAGAAGAGCAGCAGCAGCAGCAGCACGCCGCCCAGGACGGCCCCGATGACGGCGCCCAGCACCACTCCGTAGCGCGTTGGCACTGGGAGAGGACGGACGCCAGTGAGGGACCTAGCAGGGACGTGGACCCGGCCACATACCTCTTCCCGGGCCACGGGGAGGTATGGAGGAAGGGGCCCAAACTGCCTCCTGCCCACCGTTCCAGGGCCTGACCAGCACCGGCCTGTTCCCCTGCTTCCCAATTTCCCCAGACTCCTCCGGGTCCCCTCTCACACCTTTTTCAAAGACGTAGAGTGTGACCTGAGAGGTCTTGCCCACTATGTCTGGTGGGTTTTTGACGTCACAGGTGAATGTGCCGTTGTCACTGTAGTCCAGGTTGTGTATGACAATGGAGCCATCCTTCCAGCGAGGGTCCCCTACCCACTGGATGCGCTCTTTGAAGGTCCCCACCTCGTCGATGTAGGGCTGTCCCTTGGCGTAGTGGAAGATCTGTGAGGAATTGGGACTGCGTGTAGCTCTCGCCACAGGACAGGGAAGGTACTGCTGGGGCGGGTGCAGTGCCCACAGGCCCTAGTCCGGGTGACAAATATTGACACTTCCCCAAAGCTGGGATTATGGCTCATAAAGGATTTCCCCCTCCTTAGCCCAAGCTCTCTTTTCCGATATCTCAGAAACACCTTTCCATTCTCCAGTCCCAGGGCCCCCGCCGGGGAACTCACCGAGATGGCATCACGGCCCCCTTCGGGCTGGTAGCGCCAGGTGAAGGAGATGTCATCAGACACCCACTCGCTGGACCAGAAGGAGCAGTGCAGGGTCACTCGGGAGCCCACAGCGCCATGGACCTCCCTGTCCGTGTAAACCACGATGGCCTGGGCTGGGGCCAGCACTATGGGCACAGGAGGTGAGGTCAGGGGAGGTCCAGGCCACCGCAGTGGGGCTACAGCAGGGGTGGAGGCAGTAATGATTTGTCCTGAACCCAAGTCTCCGGACTCACTGAACAGCTGGGGGAAAATGCTGTGTTGGTCCCAGCTGGTCAGTGTGTTTAAGAGGCAATGGAATGGGGTGGCCACTGCCCCTCGAGGACACCCAGGGGCGGTGGTTTGTCTGCATGTCTCACTGTCCCTTTGGCTGAGTATCTAACTCTGAAACTGTCCCTCAGATGCAGGCCCTACAATTTTAAAAATTTGTTGTAAGTCATACAGGGAATACATATCATGTTCTTCTTTTATACTATTCAACTAATAGCGATAAAGCTGAAGTCTCTCTTGACGGCACTCCACCAATTCTCCTGTGGTCCCCTCCCAGACATAACCACTGTCATCAGTTTAATGTGGCTTTTTTCTATGAGTCAAACTCAATATAAATTTAATAAACTCAAGGTATGCAGTTATATATGCTTATATATGTATATACATACACACATATAGATATGTTCTTTTTATATATATATATACACACATATGTATATATATAAAGAATATCTGGAAGGGGTTTCTATGTTGATTCATAGAGACAATCTTGTTTTTTTTAAAAAAGATTTTATTTAATTACTTTTAGACAGAGGGGAAGGGGGGAGAAAGAGAAGGAGAGGGACAGCAGTGTGCGAGAGACACATTGGATCGGCTGCCCTTTTGCGTGCCCCCAGCTGGGAACCTGGTCCACAACTCAGGCATGTGCCCTGACCAGGAATCAAACCAGAAACCTTTCAGTTTGAAGGCTGGTGCTCAACCCACTGAACCACACCAGCCAGGGTGAGGCCATCTCATTTTTAACAGCTACATAATATTTCACAGTACAGCAAACTCAACTTTCCTATGGAAAATAAATGAAGGTAACTAGAAAATGTAAGTCCTCTTCCCTGTCCTGACTGTTCTCACTTTGGAGTCTCCGGCTGCAACACACCTTGCTCTCGATGGGAGGCAGCTGGGTGCAGAGCAGACCCCGAGCCCAGAGCTCAGATGACTGCATCTCAGGCCTCTGGGCTTCGACGCTCCTCACCCACCTTTTGGCCATTCTGGGTCAGTGCCACGCCCAAGACTCACCCACACAAGGAAGGCCATTCCAGAAAGATTATGTGTGTGGGCCAGCTCTGGGCAGGGGCAACTGTAGACCCTTTTGTTCTATGGGAGGGGGAGCAAGCAGCCAAACAGGGAGACCCATTGTCTGAGCAATGTAGGGGGTTCATGCCACGCCCTCATAGTCCTGAATCTCCCACCTCAGCATGCAACATCATTGACTCGCTGTCTAGGCCCTCTGCCTTACAGCTTTCTTGGGAATCTCAGATGTCACAAGGGCAGTTATTCATTGGGCCTACCTCCTATTTTCCCTGTTCTAGGTTTGGCCTCTGCCCTTCAGCTTGGCTCAATGAGTGGGACAGAGCTCTCTTGCCCTGTGCTTCAAGATCCCTCTCCCCAGTCCCTCCCCAGCCCTTCTCCAACATTTTCTCAGGAGAGTTCAGCACAGCCCCGAAGAGTCTAGGTTTGGGTTGAGGACTCAAGAAGCTCACGGAAGACAACATCCTTGGACCAGCTGAGCAGCCCCCCACCCCTGCCCGCCTGCACACATTTGCCTACTGCTCCAGGTCCGTTCAGAGAAGAAGGGCAGGATCCATTCAAACAACCCGCTTCGACCTTCTCTTGCTCACTGAACATCTACCATGGGGCAAGGAAGGGGTCAATCAACTTATGAAGGAAGACAGCTTTTGATGAACAAAACCCTAAAATCTCATAGACTCTTCCTCCTACATTTTCATCCATGTATAGATGATCAGGCCCCAAAGAGAAACTGAGGCACCAGGAGACAAAGGACCCAAGGAGCTGGGATCACAAACCTGGGACTCTTCCTGAGATCACAGTCCCTGGGATTTCCTTTCAGGGAAACTAAGGGTTGGCACCTCCTCACTGGGCAGTGAGTAGGGGCCAGAAGCCAGGCATCTGATCCTCACTCTTCTCTTGCCCTCACCTTGCTTCCCCAGGCCCTCAGCATGCCTCGGGGCATGTTACCGGTTTCCAACCTGGGTCCAGTCTGGGCCACCTCAGGGGAGCTGCCTACATTCTCTTTTCCCTTCACAGAATACCTTTATGCCTCCCTCCAAACTATCTATTTTTTCTCTGAATAGAATACCTTCCTGCTCATGCTTTCTTTGGTTGCAGTGAGCAGTGCAGGGCGAATAGTAGGCAGTTGCTCGGGGAACCCGAGTCCCAGGCCCCCAGGCCAGGGTGGTTCCACTTACCCAAAGAGAAGAGCAGCACGGTCAAGACAGGACTGGGGCTGGGCGAGGGAGCCCCAGGAGCCATGGCTGGGGCAGGGTCTGCAGGGCTGGGAGAGTGGGGGACCAGGAACTGAGCAGGGGTTCCTGGAACCTGCTTAAAATCCCCCGGGGCCCCGATATGAGGGGGCTGTCCTGAGCCAGTAACCAATTGGAGCCTGGCATGTGCAGTTGAGAGGTGGTAGGGAGGGGGGCAGAGTGCAGGGAGCAGAAGGGGCATTGTGTCCTCTGGGTGGAGGGTGGGGGGACACATGCCACCCCATACACAGAGGGCTTTGTGTCTGCTGGCCTCCCCCTGCCCCAGGCTGGAATGTTGGGGGGTGAGGGAGAGGGACAGAAACAGGGACACAAACACTTCTGTGGGGAATAGGAGGACAGGGGAACCTGAACCCTAAGGCCACGAAAAGGAGATTCCTCCCTGGGCTCCTTGCCTGAGCCGATGCCCTCAGAGCCCTGGCAGCCGCAGGCAGCTTCCCTGAGAGAACTTGGGAAGCAGGATGCCCACTGTTACTGTGACCACCGTAGGCTGCCCTACAGGCTTCTCGAAGTGACCAGGTCCTTTGGGAGCCTTCTGTTTCCCCATCTTCCCCCATCCTGGGCGATTCTGCCCAGATGGAAGTTTTCTCCACTGGCAAACACCCAGGGGGAATCCCCTAACTTTCCTCTCTTTGTCAGGAAGCCCTTCAACGCCCCAGACTGCAGTTCAAGCCCATTTCCCATGGCAGCAAGTCAAAAGAACTGGACTGAGTACCAGCTAATGTGCAATGCAGGTAACAGAGAAAAGAATAAAAATGAAGTCCCTCCTTCAAGGAATTCGAAATCTAGTTTGGGGTGGGGGCAGTCAGAGGACAACCCCATCAACTTCAATAAATCATGAGCTTGCTGCAGAATGATGAACAAAGTGCAGGGGCACCCAGGAGACACACATAGCTGCCACAGCAGGGAGAGGGTTTTGTAACAGAGGTTTTCGAAAAATGCATTTTACTTAATCAACGAAGATCGGGGGGGGGGGCGGCGTCATGTCTTGAAGGCAATGTTAGCTGTGGACCAATCTGAAAGGATGTGTGCCATTTTGAAAAGGAGCAGTGTATACGGGTGGTGAGGGCATCTACCTGGGTTGGCAGGTAGAACAGCAAACGCAGAGGCAGAGGTGAGAACGTGCATGTGTGTTGAGTAGGTCTGTCAAATGCTGGGCTTGTTCAGGCAGATCTGGGGCCACCCGCTTGACTTGATTCAGGGGAACTTCACTGCAGGGGTATCATAGGAACTGTGCAGGAGATTGAAGCTGATGTTTGTGGGCCCTAAAATACAGACTGCAGAGGGTGGATTTCACTTGTATTCTAAGAATTTCCTGAAAGGTCTTGGGGTAGTGTTTGAGGCTAATGGGAGTGTCCGTATGCTCAGACCTGAGTTTTAAGACAAATCTGGCCAGAAAAATCATTCAGACCAGAGCTCTCCTGATTGTGGCCTCCTTCCCTTCTCTCCTTGGGATCACCTGAAATGGTTGTGCTTTCATAGAACCTCTCATACTCCAACCTGGGATGTTTTCCCTTCTCTCTTCCCCTGCCTTTCTCCCCAAGCCTTCAATATATCCTGCTTCTCTTTCTTGCTTATTTTTAAGATGAGCCTTGGTATTCAGAAGATTGACTTAATATTTGGTTTGGGTTTCATTGCGATTCATTTTCATCAGTTACGGGCTCTGGAGGTTAATTTGAGGGTTGCTGCTATTCCTGCTATGAAACCCCTGCAGGCTCACCTGCAAGGCCACAGCTCCTGGTACCTTTCTGGCATCTCCCCACATCCCAGATTCAGTGCGTTTCATGACTGGTATTACATTTCCATTATGGAAATGCAAAATAGCATTTGCATTTGATGCAGAAATAACTGAATCTATGCTATTGCAACCCTGAAAGGAAGGTGTAGGAGTGCTAAATATAATAAGGTTGACTAGTAACGTCATGAGCACGTTTTACATCAGTGAGGAGTTGTCTGGTGTCCTCTTTCATGCCTCCTCTTCACTCTCCTGTTCCTTCCTCGCCTGCTCACTCTTTCCCTGAAGTCCTAAGTGCTCTGCAAGTGGTTACTGTGCTTGGACTTCTCAAAGCTGTTCACACATATGTAAGATCTAAGCGAGGTCAGTCCACCCCAACCCAGGTTTTTCTGGCTGTGGGTGTCACCCACAGGCCTGAAACAAGAGACAAGGGTGCCTCGTGTTGGGTGAGTGGGCGTCTGCCTCAGGCGCAGGGCTGCGGGGCTTTAGAGGAGCTCAGGGCCTGGGAACCGGGGCTGCGAGCGCCTCCCCACCTCCCATCCTCACTCCAGACTTGGGTCTGGACTCCCGCGTCTCCGCACAGGAGAGGCTGCACGTGAGGACGGGAGGGAACGTCTCGGGCGGCTACCAACACTTGTCTGACCCCACGGATGGGGCGGGGATCAGACTGACAGGTCCTGGGGAAAAGTCAGGGTCAGGCCTCCCTGGTGCGAATCAAAACGAGAAACGTACACGGGAAGAGTTTTCGTACACCGAAACTGGCAAATTCTGGGAGTCAGCCCAGGAGGCAGTGCGGATACCCCCAACTCGTGTGTGCAAAGGCATAAACTCCGTACACCTTAGCTTAGGGCAGGAGGAGGCTCCCAGACCTTTAACGAGGCCCGCGCGGTCACGTGACACGGGCCCCGCCCCGCTGCCGGGAGAGGGCAGGGCCGTTGTGTCACTTCCGTCCATATAGGAACCCAAGATGGCTGCGCTGTTGTTGAGGTGACTTTCGTACGCGGCTGCGAGTCGGTGCCGGCGGCCCCCGGGAGACCCGCCTGGGCCGCTGCCGTCTCGCTGACGGCCGTTCACCTGGTGCCCGGGCAGGGGAAGGGCCCGCGCGCGTGGGGGCCATGCGGGGTCCCAGAGACCCCTTCCGGCCCTCGCCGCTCCGCTGGGCGTGGGGGCGCCGACCCTCTCTGCCTCCTTCCTGGCCGCGGAGGGCGCGGGCTCTCTCCCGCTCTGCTTCCCCACAGCTGAGTTTGTCCTCGGGTCCCGCTGAGCTGCACGGGGCGGTCAGGCTCGGACGAAATAAATGCAGGCATACGTCCGAGACCCGCCGTGTTCTGTTCAGACCGCGCAGTAGAGCGAGACTTGGGAGTCGCAGTAAACCAGCAATAACCTTTTTGCTGGGGATGGTGGGGAGGGAGGTCTCGGGTTAATTTCTTAAAAAAAAAAAAACAAGAAAACAACACCTGTGAGGCACAGTAGAACGAGGTATGGCTGTAGCTCGAAGAGGTCAGCGGACCGGGGGGGGGGGTCCCACCGTTCCGACGACATCTTTCTTAGAAATTGAAACTGGTGGGGATAGAGCTCGATGTACTTCGCCCTTGCTTCAGATGCCTGCAGACCCAGCTGCTGGTGGGGAGTGGGCCTCTTACCGCCGCCCCAAAGCGCCCAGAGGATTCCGTTTTAATCTCTCTTCTTATTGCGGGGGAGCTGGGGAGAGGAAGCCCCAGTTTTTCTGTACAATGTCGATTCCTGTCCAAAGAAAAACCCTAGATTTTCTTCCGCTCCAAACTGCCCACAGTCCAGGCCTCCTCTACTCAGAGCCATTGGACCATAGCGCTTAGTGACTTTTCACACTCCCCTGGTACAGATCCCAGAAGAGGTTTGTGCCAGCGCTATTTCTGGAAACCGTTTGTTATGGAAAGTTAGCTTTGATGCTGTTGAGATTTAATTCCTGGTTTACCCAAATGTCTCCTCCTCTCTCTTTCCACTTAAGTCGCTCAGTGTAAAAATAGAGGGAGTTTATTTCGTTTGTTGACAAAATGATCCCTTTGGGAGCCGTGATCAGGAATGGGTTATCTTATATTTTTCTCCCTGACTCTCATTTCCAAATGAGTCCTTTTTTTCTGACAGATGCCTTTCCCAGTCTTGCCAGAACTGCCTCCCTTCTTCTAGTTTGTTTGACCATAATTGAATACTTTTGGATTCTTTGACATCTTATGATTTGGTGATGGTCAAGGGCTTTTGGTGGGATCAACATCTAGCTTGAAGTGATCATATTAGTTGTAAACAGTTTCTTTCAGGACCAGGTTTAGAAGCCGAGGGTCGTTCAGCTTGTGGACTGGGTCCCATTGAGATAGTGTCCCGTTCAGTTCTGTAGCCTGTCACCACCAGCATCCAGTGTCAGGAAGCAGACATTTGCACTGGTGGTGGTCCGAGGCCCTGTTCCTTTCTCATGAGAGATTTTATAGGAGGGCTTTTTAAAATTAAAAAATGTATATATCCTGATGAATTTCCAGTTCTAACTTAGTTCGCTACAGGGGTTTGGAACTGTTTGTAGTGTGCTGGTGTAGCCTCAAAGGAGAATACCTTCTGAGAAGTTGGGAGCTGGCTTCTGATTATTTTGAAGAAGTCAAGGTCATTGATTCCATGATTGTGAATTCCTCATTTGTGAGTGAATGTAGTAATAACTTGGGCCCTCTTAAGAGAAATATTGGACATTTTTAGTATGTGGTTGAATATTAGTTATCAGAGTGCTGTACGTCGTAGCTTTTGAATAGTGCTCCGTGTTTTGTATAGTCCCTAAACAGTTCACAGATTAGCCGGCCATGGATCCCCAGCAGAACAGCGCACTCTGTTGGCACTGGGTCAAGGAATGACTTGCCAAAGCCAAGGCAGCGACAGAGTTAGAGGACAGCTGGGCTTCGGCCTCACAGAGTTCATGCTGCTTAAGCATGGAGTCACCAGAGCCATGAACCTTCTGGGTGTTGCTCATCATATTAAATTCTACATGTGAAACAGCTGCAAAAATACGTTTTAACCCTACATTTGTAAGGCAGATTTTTAACATGAGTGTGCTCACACACACCATTTTCTTGAGCCTCTTCTTTGTGTCAGACATTATTGCAGGTGCTAGAGGTGCAGAGTCTTCCCGTCCTGTCCTTGAGGAGCTCAGAGTCTAGGAGAGGAGGTAAATAAATAGATTGATTATAAAGCAAGAGGATAGATGTTGCTACAGAGGTGCAAAGAGTGGTGTGGAGATGTTGCCACTGTGGGTGTTGGTGTTGAAGGGTGAGCCTGTTGGGCTGTGAGGGAGGCCCCAGTCACAGCAGCTCAAGCAGAATCCTGTGGACTTAGAGGGCTCTTGCTGGTGGGTGTGGTGTCGCCTGCAGTGTGGGAGAGACGGAGAGGCTGTAGGGAATTTGTTGGAAAATAGGTCCAGAGTGTTGGACTGGGCTGTTGTGAAGGGCCTCGTTTGTCTGCAGTAGGAACGTGAACCTGTAGGCAGTGGGAAACAGTGAAAGACTTTCAGTGAGTCAGCTCCGCCAGCATGGATGATAGGGAGAAGGTCGGTGATGGGGAGATCGCCCAGGAGCTCTGCGACACCGCTCTTAGTGAGCGACGAAGAGCACGCCACTAAAACAGTGCATTGGAGTTTCCAGATCGTGCTGTGGGCTTGGGCCATGCCTTGCATATATGTGCGGTGAGAGGAAGGAAGAAATCAAGGATGACTTACCTTGTAGCTTGGGAGTTAGCGGTGGGCTAATAACCATTAATCAGAGCTTTTGTACATAAATGATCACTCTTCATCGTGTCTTTAGGGCCATGCATCTCTTTAGTGTCGCTGTTGTCACAGACATCTGTGGAACTTTTTGGCTTACTATCAGATTCAGTTTAGAGAAACTCATATAAGTCTTATATAAGTCATATAAGAGAAACTCATTATAGTACAGTTACATCTTGTTTTGGACCAAAAATGGGTTTATGTCATTTGATCACATAGATCAAATTGAATAACTTTGGGTTTGCTTCATATGTCAAATTTCTTTTTAGCAGGTGAATATTTTCATCACCACTGACGGTTTTAGTGGATGTGATGCGAATTCTAAAGACCTTGGGGAGACTGGTGGAATATTACTATCTTCCATACACGTGGTACATTGCAGTTCAGAGAATGCTTTCCTGTATATCTCTCATGTCACTTTCTCAGCAAGAGCAAGGCAGGTATATCAGTTGCATTCTATGAATGAAGAATTGAAGCTCCGTGACTCGCTAAAGACACACAACGAAGGCAGACCTAGAACTCGAATCTGGCTTGTACTTCGTCCAGTGCTGTTCTTGTGTCACTGTGGTTGCCCAGTCCAGAGGCGAGCTCCAAAAATGGAGCATTGCGGGGACACGTGCGCAGTGCACTCAGAAGGGAGCAACACCGACTGGAGATTAAAAGTTCTGGGCTTCTTAACTTAAAGTAACACAAAGAAGGTACTATTACTTTCTAGCTATAACGTTTAAAGCACTATTCCTTGGGGGAAAATAAATCTTTTCAGAGTTCCTGGTTTCCCATGAAGGGCAAGGACAGGTAACTCCTGTCACATTCCAGACCAGGTTGTGGAGTTTGTGCAGCTGGTTTCTGTTAGGGCCTGTGCAAAGTCGACGTTGGTGTTTGGGAAACAATAGCCCTGGACGAAGAGAGGCTGTAGATTCCAGCCCACGTGTGCAAGCCCTCCCTGGGAGCCTCTAGCTGGGGCCTGCCGGGCTCAGGAATGCAAGGCCCCAGCGTCCGAGCCACAATCCCTGCCATTGATGTGGGGAGGTTTGCTCCCACTGCTGCCTTCTGGGAGCCATGGACACACAATGTCCATATTCACCTCGTGCCTCCGAAGCTGGAAGGAGGGCAGGGCTGGAGGAAGTGCTGGTTGGATTAATTGTCCTTCAAGTTGTGGGCCCTTCTAGTGTCCTGGTGTGGATTGTGAGGCTCCTGAAATGCTGATGCAGCTACTCTTAGTGGGGCGACTCGGGGATGAGGGATGGGCCACCAGCCACTGCCAGGGTTCTGAGATCTGTGTCCCTGCGGTGGGCAGGGGGGGTGGGAAACAGAGGAGAGACATGGGAACTTTTGTGGAGTCAGCGTATTTTACATTCTAGACAGTAAAGTGAGTCAGCGTGGAGACGGCGTGGAGGTGATGCTGTCTCACACCTTGGCTCTGGGTCAGTTCGGCGCTCCGATAGAGTGCCGGCACAGCTTAGTGTCAGACTTGAGAGGAGCAGCTTCCTAGTGGAAAACCCGTGCATCCTCCTCAGGGACCTTTTGCTGTGCATAGCAAAGACATGTCTGTGTTCCTGTGTCTTTGCACTGTTACACGAGAGACGAGAGACTTGAATTTGGAGTTCACCCAGGTTGTCTGAAACTTGATGTGGTTCCTGAAGCGAGAGCTTAGTGTTTGGGGCCCTTGGTCCACAGACCCCTGTTCCCCCACCTTTTAAGCCCCCTGCAGGAGGTGGCCCCTGGAGCTAAGCTGGGTGTTGGGGGTTGCTAGCAGTTCACCCTGTCTTTTCCTTCAACTCGTGTCTCTTAACCATCACCTCCTTCACAACCCAACTTCAAAGTCCCTTTCTGTATCTCCCTGTTAGGTGTGACTGACTCTGGTCATGATTTGCCTTGCATAGTTTGTGTTCAGCCAAAACTGTTTTGCATTTCTGGGTAAGATTTGTGATTGTTCTCAAGTTATTTAAAGTTGTGACTTTCCTACTAGAAAGTAATCTCAAGGACGCTGATGCTGTCACTTTTCCCACCTTATGCATGGTGTTCCACCTCACCCCTGAGTTGGTTGCAGGACGGAGGCTGACCTGGAGTGCGTGCTGACTCTGGTTCTCTGTTTCACAGGCACGCTGGCCGCCCCTGCCTCCAAGCCCACCTGGGGCCTCGGCTCTGCATCCGAAAGTAAGTTGCTGGGTCTGTGGATATTATTATTGCTTTTTTTTTCTCCCTTTGGGGAAAGTGGCAGATTGTTGGCTTAGATTTGGGGGCTACATATGAAAGAAAGAAGCTGCAGTTGGGGTGGCTGAAAATATAGGGTAGTGGTCGCTTTTGCCCATTGCAGAGTAGAAGGAAAGACAAGAATATTTCTCTGGTCTTTGTTGATTTTCCTCACTTTCAGCTTGTCTGCTACATCAATTTCAATTTCATTGATATAATCCAGTTCTTGATTTCTTCTTTGATATCTAATTTTCTTCTTTCCTTTCTCCTTAGTCTCTCTTCTTTTAATGCTTTCTTTTCTTGTAACCTTTAGTTCTGGGCAGGAATTAGCCCTTAAATATATTTTCCTGCTATACTCATTTCTACTCTCTTGGTTGCAACAGTGCCCCTGTGTTATTTTTTTTAATTTTTAATTTTGGAAATATACATTCAGAGAAGTTGGAAGAATAATACAGTGAAGTTCTGTATACTATTTACCTAGATTCATCAGTTGTTAAAATTTTGCTATGTTTACTTATCAGTATGTATTTTAGGTTGTGTCATATGAAATTGGTATTTTTGTAGATCTAAATTGGCCTAATATCTATAGCTTAACGTAGTTTATTACATATTTAATTATTGTTTTATTTTCGCTGAATTCTTCGCAATTATATTGCAGGAATCATGATGCTTTACTTTGTTTTTCTCAGGAGGGTGGAATCCTGTTTGGTGTGGGCACATAATAAATAAATTAAATTGTTGGACATAGCTGTTTAGTAGTTGGCTTCAACCTCGCCCAGTGACGAGGGAAACCAGGAAGCTGTCCAAAGGTACTGAGCTGAGTGCACTTCATGGTTTCCTGAGCCTGAAAGGGAGACTTGGGGGCCAGATGAGAGCAGGCGGGAGTGTGTGAGGTGGTTGGGAAAAGGGCCATGCACTCGTGCATGTGGTTTTGAAGTAGCACATTTGCCTCGATGCTCAGCCAGGAAGGGTGTCTGTTGGTGGAGCTGTGTGTTGTGGGCAGGGAAAGAGCCTGATTCGACCTTGTTGGGTAGTCAAGGTTAATAACTGAGTCAAACATGCATAAAGGTTAGGGGAGTGGACGCGCGTGTTTTCCTTACACAGTGGCTCATCCAGCCCAGCTTACCTTTTTTTATTTTAATGTTTTGTTATATAAAAAACTTAAACCGATTTTTAATCATTTAAAAACCTTCCGGTTTCATTTTAGTGCTATTCCTTTGGGAACCACAGCCAAAGAAGAGATGGAGAGATTCTGGAATAAGAATCTTGGGTCAAACCGTCCTCTGTCTCCTCACATCACTATCTACAGGTAAGGACTCTGGGACTAGGAAATCTGGGAGGAGTGGGCGAAAGTCCTGGACTGGCCCACAGCTCCCTGGTTATTTTCCTCAGGTCTGTCGTAAGAAAATGGCTGAATTCTATCTTCTGGCCTTAGAGGGTAATCTGCCTTACAAAGCTACCATTTGGGAAATCCTGGTATGTCAAAATGCTATCAATTCAAAAATATTATTTTGAAACAATTTTAGATTTGTGTAAGTGTTGCAGAAAGAGCACACACGCTCCCATGCAGCATCATGCAGATTCACAAGGTGTTGCACGCCTGAGTGGCCTAAGGGCAGGTGCAGAGGCGATGGCCCGTTACTCCTGTGTCATGTTTCTGTTCCATCACCAACAAGCCAGCACGGACTTTGTGGCCTAAAGCAGCACGTTTGTTGCCCACCAATTCTGAGGGTGGAGTCCCACAGCGCCTCTCTGGGGTAAAGTCGGGGCACGGACAAGGCTGGTCCCTCTGGAGGCTGCGGGGCAGATGAGCTCCTGGTCTTCCCAGCTGCCAGAGTCTGCTCTGGATTCCTTGGCTTGTGGCCCTTTTTCTGCATGTTCAGAACCATCAGTGATGGGTCAAGTTCATTTCTGGTCATCACTTGACACTTCCATTGTCACATTTCTCTGACTACCCTCTTCTGCCAGCCTCTTCTACATTCAGGGACCCCGTGATTCTCTGGGGCCCATCCAGATAATCCAGGCTGGTCTTCTTATCTTGAAGTGAGCCTTTTAGTGGCCTTCCTTTCCTCTGCAGCCTTAAATACTCACAGGATCCAGGGACTGGCATGTGCGCATCTGTAGGGAGGTTGTTTCTCTGCCTGCCACGGTCCCTTAACACTACAGCATGTGCTCCCTGAGTTCAAGGACTCTCCGTTGTCCAGTCACCCCATGCAGGAAATGACTGCTGATGCAGGTCGTGTCTGTCCCTCATCCTCGTGCCACGTTTGCTGGTTGTCCCAGTGGTGTCCTTCCTAGGCCCCGCGTCCCACCGAGATTGTGTGGCATTAACACTTTTAGTGTCTGTTGAACCTCCTTCAGGGTGGAGCAGTGTTTTACTCCTTCCTGATCTTGGATGGCCTTGACACTTTCGGAATGTCTCTAGGTTTGGTTTGCCCGATGCACTTTTGTGACTTGCGTGTTTGGGCAGGAGCTCTCTGAGGTTCCGTGCTCTTGGTGCCTGATGGTTTGTCTGTTCTGTTACCGGTGAGGGGAACTGTTGTCACTGGGTAAGGGGTGTCTGCTGGGTTTGTGTGTTTTAACGGGTGCTGATTTTGGGGGACATACCCTGAGACTCAACATTGTTTCTCATCACACTTACACATCTGAACCCGTTGTAACTGTACTGGGCTCCAAATTGGGATGTTTCTGATTCCTTCGTCCCTTTTCGGTGTATTTATTGCTAGGGTAAAGCTTCTTTTCTTACCAGTGCAGACTTGAGGATTGCTCAGAGGAGAAGCACAATCATTTCCCTCTACTCTGGTGAAACCGACTAAAGGAAAAACACCGCAGTTTCCTCTGCACCCAGCACTTCTGCTGCAGAATGTGCAGGGGTTGTTCCCACACCAGCCAGTGTTCCGACCCCGGATGCCAGCTGGGCAGCCTCCGCTCCAGCTGTGGTGCTCACCCCTGACGTTAGCACAGGCCCACAGACGAGGGGTGCGGTGCCCCATGCCTGCCCCTTGCTTCACATGATGATCCTGGGCCGTGACCTGTACTTTACTGGCCAGCTGTCAGCAGGGCTTTCCACAACCCCTGCCTTGGGTTCAGTGATTTGGGCTCCTGGAACCTGGAAACATCTACTTACGTTACCTAGTTTAGTGTAAAGGGTGTTGCAGATGAGCAGCCAGGTGCCCTTGCAGGCACCTCTCTGTGTGAAGGGTCCTGGTCACAGGAGCTCTGTCCCCTTGGAGTTGGGGTGCCCCACCCTCCTGAAAACTCTGATCCCCATACTTTTGGGATTTTTATGGAGGCTTCATCACTTCCATTCATCATTCATCACATGATCCATGAACCTTTAGCTCCTCCTACCTGGAAGAAGGTGGAGGTGGGGCTGGAAGTTCAAGCTTGTAATCATGTTCTGGTCTTTCTGGTGACAGCCCACTTTCAGAGTTGCCGCATTTGAACAAAGGATGCTCTTTGCACCCAGGAAATCTCAGTGGATTTAGGAACTGTGTCAGGAACCAGGGTCAGAGACCAAATACTAGAATAGAAGATGCTCCTAGCACCCCATCACTCAGGAGATCATAAGGGTTTTAGGAGCCAGAAACAGAGAGGTGGAGGTGGATAGATGTCTTACTGTTTTGGCCCAAGGGCTGTACTGTGACTCGCATCTGTTTGATGTTCAGATTGTCTGGGCCTGTACTGGTGCGGCTCCTGTGGAATCGTGATCCGGTGCTGGGTGTGCTGTGGTCACCGGGGTGTTGCGGCGTCTAGGCCCTTTCCGTGCAGCACGCTGGGACTCGCGTGTGCACACAGCCGCGTGTGTCTGTCATGTCCTCAGACGTAGTGTCGATGGCTGGCGTGCCAGCGTCCTCCCCAGGACCTGCTCCTTTCCAGCTAACCCAGCATCTCCAGCTCTGCCACCCTCTTGCTTGGGTCCCCGCCAGGGGGGCTGGCTGTTTTAACCGCCTCCACAAATACCGCAGCCTTTCGGATTTCTTCCAAGCCGGATTCCAGAAATAATTCTGATTGCAGGGTTGGACGAATATCCTGCATCCAAACAGAAGGACGTTGATGAGGGACCTCAGCCCTCACTACTTTACGGTGAAAGTCTTTTTAAGATGAAAGATTTGGGGAGGATTCTAATGATGAGGAATTCTCAGATTATTCTGAATCTGTACTTCAAGCCGGGACTTTTTCACATGTCATATTACAAATGGTAGGGCGATGAACTTTGTCTTGGTTTGAAACTTGAGACACAGGTATGGAAAAAGAATAGCAATGACTGTGGGGCTGCTCCCCAGGTGACAGGTCTGGAGGGGGGTCCGAGGCGTCTGGACCCTGCTTCCTGTTACTGAGTTCGGAGGTGTTGGGGGGGGCCTGGAAGCAGACAGTTGAGGCAGCAGTTTCGGAAGCGCTCTGTCTCTTAACATACTGAGTGCCTTTACCAAAGCCAAGTGCGTCCAGGCATAAAGTTACCAGGAGAAAATGAGTCCTTCAGAAGGATGTTGGATAAAACTCTTTCATGTCTAAGTTTTGGAAGGACCCTTCACATTTAATCAGATCATCAGCCTCCTTGGTTTCAGAGGGCTTCTGGGCACGGGTGCCCACCCAGTGTGATGGGCAGTTGTGAGGGGCAGGCCAGCATGCCGACTGTTCTACAGGCCCCCACCCTGGGTGACCCGAGCAACCTGGCACTTCCGTACATGGTCTGTTTTTGTATTAGGGTTTTGCATTTGAAGAAAGGGTGCTGTTCAAAAAAAAAAAAAGGTTTAAAAGCCACCATTGTGCCCAATGGGTGGGTGTTCCCTGCAGTATTTGTACAAGTGAGTGCCTGCCTGTGCTTGCACACCTGCAGTGACAGGGAGCTCATTATCACTTTTCCAATGGGAATTTCTCCTGTTGTCAGAAAGCCTTATTTTATGGAACTTACTTCAATTTATATCCTCTATCCAGTGACTCTAGTTCTACCGGGAACTATACAGGATAGATCTAAGCCCTTTTTAAAAAAAGATTTTATTTATTTATTTTTAGAGAGAGGGGAAGGGAGGGTGAAAGAAAAGAAGAGAAACATCCATGTGTGGTTGCCTCTTGAACCCTGTACTGGGGACCTGGTCCACAACCCAGGCATGTGCCCTAACCAGGAATCGAACCAGCCACCATTTGGTTCACTGAGCCACACTGGCCAGGGCTCTAAGCCCCGTTCTTTTCCTGACCACCCTTTATGATGTTGAACATCTTTTGCTGTGCTTATTGGCCATTTGTATGTCTGCATACAAGTGTATATATGTATATTCAAGGGCTGTACTCCTTTTTTAGTTGGGTCATCTTTATAGTTTAAAAAAAAAGTTTGATTGATTGGTTAAGCAAAAAGAGTATAACACTCATGCTGGGTGACATGCAGGTGTGCTGTGAGGGGAACCAGGTCTGCAGCTGACCCCACGACCCTCGGGGACGGTTCTGAGGGGAAACTGCCTGACCCTGAGGACTCCCAGCTGGGCTGCTGCCCCGGGACTCGGCCTTTCTGTGACCGAGGCTGCTGGAGAGTTGCTCCTTGGTGATGGTAGAGTAGGCATCACACAAAAGCCAGCCTGTCGGCCACTTTGAAGTGTGTGGTGCGGTGCCATCGGGCACAGCCACAGTGGTGTACTGCGGTCGCCACCACTTGTCTCCAGAGTCCCCTTTCCAGGCTGCAGCTCTCTGAGGGGACAGTGCTGCCTGGTCCCTCCACCTCCAACAGCCCCCAGTCAACTTGCCGTCCAACGAGTCTGACCGCTCTGGCCCCTTGTGAAGGAGAATCATGCCCTGTCTGTTCTTTGGGTCCGGCTTGTGGCACTCAGCATGACATCTCCACATGGCTGCCATGTCAGAATATCCTCCTTGCTAAAGCTGTGGTTCGTATAGGCTACATTTTGTGGGGTTCATCCACCCACAGACATTCGGGTTGTTTCCACCCTGTGGCAGTTGTGAGTGGTGCTGCTGTGCACATGGAGCGCACGTCTCCGCTTCTGTTTCTTTTGGGTGTGTCTTGGAGCGGAAGTGCTAGAGTGTATGGTGGTTCTTGGGCTTGTATTTTGAGGGACCGGTACGGTTTTGTGTACCCACCAGCAGTGCACGGAGGTTCCAGTGTCTCCATGCCCTCATCAAGACTTGGTGCTGCTGTTATTGTAATAACAACCATCCTGGTGGGTGGGGAGGTATCTCACCGTGGCTTTGGTTTGCACTCCCAGTGGTGAGCGGTGGTGAGCGACTTTTCATGCACACGTTGGTTATCTGTGTGTCTTCCCAGCAGAACAGTTGTTACTTTCTCAATGGGATTGTTTGCAGCCCAACTGTTAGATTGTTGCTGCAATATACTGTCTCTAGCTTTCTTTCTCTTCTTTTAAAGAGATTTTTATTTGTTTATTTTTAGAGAGAGGGGAAGGAGGGGAGAAAGAGAGGGACAGAAATATGAGTGCAGGAAAGAAACATCAGTTGATTGCTTCTCACATGCCCTCAGACTGGGACCGAACTCTGAATCAAAGCATGTGCCTTGACCGGGAATTGCCCAGGTGACCCCTCACTTTGCGGGATGACACCCAGCCCACTGAGCCAGCTGGTCAGGGCTCTGGCCTGCTTTCATGAGCATCCCACTCACAGTGCAAGGAGGTAACGCGCACACACTGCAAAGCAGCAGCTGTGTGGTGACGGCACGTCATTCGCTGTTGGGCACTGGAAATGCAAGGGTGAATAAGCCATGATCTGTGTTCCGGAGGATGCCTGTGTGGCGTGAAAAAGTGTTTATCAGGGAAATCACAGGCTGCTAGTGACTCTCTTCTCTGTAAGTGAGTTATAACAGACCTGATTGTCTGCACTGGACTTGTGCTGCTTGAACAGGAAATAGGACGACTTCACCCCATGGTGTCTGAGGCCTCAGCTGGGACCCACAGTGGCCAGATGAATCCGAAGACCCACTTCATCACATATCTTGGGTTGGCTCAGGCTGTTAGATGGCCCTTGTTTTCTGTCCACATGTCGGGCTTCACAGGCTGCTGCGGGCTTCCCCAGAGAAGGAGGAGGGACCCGGGGATGGATGGGCGGAGAGACAGAGGGGGAGGGATGTGGGGACTGATGGACAGTGATTTGGGGCTCAGGCAGTGTTGCTTTTGCTGCATTTTGTTCCTTAAGGCAAAATGGTTTTGATGTCCTGCATGCCTGGTGGACAGTGCCGAGGCCCACCATGCCCTGCCCCCTGGGGGTTGCTGGAAATATTGTGTTTGTCTGGAAAATGAACTCTTCTTACCTGCACCACACCGGGCCAGCCAGACCGTGGTTTCTCCCATCTCCAGAAGAGACAACCAGGGCGGCCATGAGTCTCCTTCCTCTGGCCTGGAGCCCCAGGTGCATTGGGGATGCTAAGCTATGTCTTACTTTCCCCACCTCTTTTTTTTTAGTTCTCTGAAGTCAGTGTGTACTCTGTCTCTTTCTGTCTGACAACCCTTCTCTCTGACAGGGTGGGCGAGCGATCTCCTCTGCCCCTCCCAGTCAGGGGGCTCTCCTGGGGACAGCTGTAAAGGCCCCATTTTGTTGTCCTGGGCATTTTTGCAGCCTCAGCTCCTTCTGGGTTTCAGTCTCCTGATTCTTCCAACGAAAGGATGCCATTGTTCTCTGTTGTCCTTTGTTATGTGGCTCTTCTCCCGCCTATTGCGTTTGTCCTGTTCAGTCTGAGTCCAGAGTGGTGCCTGGCCCGCTTTCTTGGTTTCTTTGGACATCACTCCTGTCTTACTATGACCATTTTCATTACATAGCTAGACTCTTTGAATGCATGGTCTGGCTCTACTTGGAGCGCTCTCTCTGAGCTGACTCTCCAGGACAGAGGTGCTGCTGGCCTCCCCAGCTCCTAACCAGCTCCCTCTGAGCCCGAGGGCCAGTCCCAGGGATGGCGATTCCAAACACGATTGAAAAAGCGGTTTGATGAGAAAGTACTTTAGAGCTACTGTGGATTAAGAAACATAGTAAGTCCAGCAAAACTGGTTAAAAAGTTTGGAATAGGTGATTTATTAAGGAATAAACGGAATGCTCGGTGCAGGTATTTTGGGGTACACAGTTTTGTAGATACGGAGAAGAAAATGATGGTTTCCAGAGGGCAGGGGTTTTGCAGGACTGGTTGGAAAAGGTGAGGTGATGAGCACATACCCATTGCTGGTTGTAGAAAGAGTCATGGGTGTATTGTCAGGAATTGTGCAGGGAGTGTGTGCTGTCAGAGGGGCTCACTGGGGGTCGCCTCAAGTCACGAGAACGACTAGTCACGGTGTTCTGCACCTCCGATTAACATGACGTTGTCGTGTGTCAACTGTGACCGGAAGACACACTCGGGAAACCAACAGGGCCCGAGGGTGATCGAGAGCATGTGACACAGCGGGTAAGTAAAACTCACGTGGGTTTGCTTTTGCTTCAGTTTTGTGACCGGGAGACAGAAGGGTCCGTAGTCTGGTGGCTGTTTTCTAACCACAGGCGACTTGAATGGGTGTCTTCGGCCCATGTTGTTTCTGCTCGGGAGGGAGGAGTTTGAGCTGTCACTGGTTTTCCCCTGTAGCTCCGTCAGCGGCACAGTCCTTCCTAAACCAACGTTCTGATCTCCAGACCAGAAGGCGCACGCACAGGAATGTGAAGGCTGCTCGCTGTCCATGTTTGAAGGCTGGTGTTCCCCCAGTGCCTTGCGTCCTCTCCGCCAGGGCGGGCGCTCTCGTGTGGCGCCGTCTTTCCCTTCTTTCAGGTGCCTTTGTCTGTTTCTTTGCAGGTGGTCCCTTCCCATGGCGATGTCCATCTGCCACCGCGGCACTGGTATAGCCTTGAGTGCAGGTATGTATGTGTGTGCACACGCATGTGAAGAACTTTGCTGTTTCTTTGGCTCTGGGCACCACCTCCTTGGCAACTCGGCAGCTTTATTTAGAGAAAATGAGTCCATTTAGGCCTATGGTTCATCCATTCCTTTAACAACTAATTACGAGCTCCCGTTATGCTCAGGTTCTAAGGGATTGTTAAATCACCCTAGCACGCCCTGCTGGTGTATTTACTGAGGTCACACAGAGCAGAGATATGCCTGTAGTGGAGACAGGTGGCTGACTGAACAGGGCCTAACGCAGTCCAAGACCAGTCGTCAGCCTTATTCTCGCAGAAACCCAGTTTCTGCCCCCACTCTTGTCCCCTGGCACTGATCGGGCCAGCAGACTCTCTCACTCTCCAGTCTCACGGTGCCCTGGTGCAGGCCAGAAGGCCTGTCCGTGTGATGGGAAGTGCAGCCGCCAAGCGGTTGTGTGCTGGTCCTCCTTAGGTAGTGAGGGTTGTCCCAGGTAGGAGGTGCACGCGCGAGTAGGTGTCTGGGGTCTGGTGTGTCTTTCCACAAGACGAGAGGATCAGCTGTGTTTTAAAATTTTCTCTGGCTGATGCTGGAGACATGCACATACTGTTTTTCATAATGTCCTTCAGGCCCTTCCTGGGCTTCCGAGGACTGTTGCACTGAAGTGGTCCGTCCACTGCAGGGCTGGAGGCTGAAATGCAGCGTCCTGTATTAGGGAGCTGCAGCGAGACAGTGGCAGGGGGAATCGAAAGCTAATTCTTCCCTATTGGTAGTCAGATTCGTTTTGTTGGTGACCACGCGAGGGCGCATTCCTCTGTCTGGTCAAGGCCCGGTAGGACCCAGGTATCGGGTGATTGGTATGGCCTGGGCATTTGTGGGTAGTTTCTGGTTTCTCACCTACTTGCAGTGAAACAGTGAGGCTGTTGTGACTGTAAGGTCGTAGTTGGGTTGTTTCTGCTGGCTCGGGTCCTGCTGCGAGCAGACTGACACCTGCTGCTCAGTGGGTGGTGTTGGTGAGCAGACGGGACTCGAGGAACACGGCGGGCGGGTGGGGAGCAGCTTGTGTTCAGGCTGCAGTTCCCACTGTCGTCAAGCATGCGTGTCACCCTGACGGATGGTTGTCCAGGTCAGGAGCTTGTGACGCAAAAGTATTTGTTTTCTAACCATGGCCAAAACCAAATGTTTATTTTGGGATATTATTTTTTTATTTTTTAATATTTTATGTTTTAAATTGTATTTTGTTGATTATGCTATTACAGTTGTCCCAATTTTTCCCCCTTTGCCCCTCTCCACCCAGCACCCCCTGCTCCCTCAGGCAGCGACCCCGCCATAGTTCATGTCTGTGATGTGCATGTAAGTTCTCGGGCTGCTCCATTTCCTAACTGTACTGTGCATCCCCACGGCTGTTCTGTGACTGCGCATGTGTGCGTCTTAATCCTCTCGCTTCCTCACCCATCCCCCCACTCGCCCCTCCCACCTGGCAACCATCGAAACACTCTCTGTATCCATGATTCTGTCTTTGCTATTCTTATTTGTCTAGCTTGTTTTTTTAGATTCAGTTGTTGATAGATTTGTATTTTTTGTCATTTTATTGCTCATAGTTTTGATCTTCCTTTTTTTTAAATAAGTCCCTTTAACATTTCATTTACTAATGGTTTGATGATGATGAAGAACTCCTTTAGATTTTTCTTGTCTGGGGAGCTGTTTTTCTGCCCTTCCATTCTAAATGATAGCTTTGCTGAATAGAGTAATCTTGGATGTAGGTCCCTTTCTTTTCATAACTTTGAATATTTCTTGCCAATACCTTCTAGCCCGCAGTTTCTTTTTGAGAAATCAGCTGACGGTCTTATGGGAACACCACTGTAGGTAACTATCTGCTTTTCTCTTTCTGCTTTTAAGATTCTCTCTTTATCTTTAACCATTGGCATTTTCATTATGACGTGTCTTGGAGCGGGCCTCTTTGCATCCATCTTGTTTGGGGCTCCCTATGCTTCCTGGACTTGTGTGTCTATTTCCTTCACCAAATTAGGGAAGTTTTCTTTCATTATTTTTTCAAATAGATTTCTGACTTCTTTCTCTTTTCCTTCTGGCACCCCTATGATGCGAACATTGGACCTCTTGAAGTTGTCCCAGAGACTACTTATACTATCCTCATTTGGGGGGATTCTTTTTTTCTTGTTTCGATTGGTTGGTTTTTTCGCTTCCTTGTGTTCTACATCATTGATTTGATTTTCAGCCTCATACACTCTATCTACTATTGTTTCCCTGTAAACTGTTCTTTATTTCAGTTGGTGTATCTTTTGTTTCTGGATCTTTTTTATGCTGCTGAGGTCCTTGCTGAGTTCCTTGAGCATCCTTATGACCAGTGTTTTGAACTCTGTGTCTGGTAGATTGCTATCTCCATTTTGTTTTAGCTCTTTTTCTGGAGTTTTGATTTGTTCTTTCATTTGGGCCATGTTCCTTTGTCTCCTTTTTTGGTCAGCCTCCCTGTGTTTGTTTCTATGTATCCGGTAGAGCTGCTTTGACTCTGTGTCTTGGTTTAGTGGTCTAATGTAGTAGGTATCCTGTAGAATCCAGTGGCACAGCCTCCCCTGTCACCCAAGCTGGGTACTCGAGGTGCCCCCACTGTGTGGGCTGAGAACACCCTCCTCATGTAGTTGAGCTTTAACGGCTTATTGGCAGGCAGGTCAATGGAAGGGATTTACTCAGGCAGTCCGAATGTATTTTTTCATAACTGTTGTTACTAATTATTTGTGCCGTTGTTGTTGTTTTTATTCTTTTGAATGGCCATGTGTTCTTCAGCATGGATCCTGGCCTTCCCAGACAGTGTGCAGTCTGGTTCTGCAGGCCAGTGGTCCCCATGCTCCCCCTGTTCTGCGGGGACAGCGTGCTGCCTGGTGGGTGATGTAGGCAGCTCAGTGCATGCTCCATGCCTTGGGCGTTCCTTGTCAAATGGGCAGATTGATCAGGCCTATCCCGGAACTCATGGAATTTCAAGGAACTCGACCCTGGACATTGACTCACAGAAACAGGATGAGCAGCACAATAAGTAGGTGTAATAGGAACGGTCTCTTGGGGGGTCGAGTACTGGACTGGACAGCGACCAGCATCCAGTTTTTGGCCGGTAATGATGAATCAGTCCAGCAGCTGTGATCTTTCTGTCCTGGGGTACACAGAGCATCAAGAATGGTAGGAAACCTTTTGAATAAATTGAGTCATGTCACATTTAGAATCTTCCTGTTACTGTTATATATTACTCTTTGCCTTTCTCCTTAGATTAAAATTCAGATCTTCCCCACGGCCTAAAATGCCTGGCCTGTCCCTTGCCAGACTCCTTGCTACCTGTCCTCCCCTGCCCTGTGCCCCTGCCCTGTGCCCCTGCCACACCGCTCATCAGGCCCTGGCACAGAGCCGCTGTGCACTGTCTTCCCGGATCTGAAGTGTGCACCCCTCCCCCTGTCTCGCGTGCTCAGTCCCTCATCAAAGCTGCCAACTCACAGGGTGCTCTGCTGACCACTACATCCAAAGTAGCTGCTATTTCTAGGTCTTATTACACTTGTGTTTCTGTCACAGTTTTTATTACATAATTTGTAGTTATTTTGTTTGCCCGATTTTTGTCAGTTAGCCTGTCTTATGTACCATTCACATCCCCTAGTACTCAGTAGGTGCTTAGGGAATCTTTGTTTACCAGATGAACACACCCGGGGATGTTTGCTTATTCCTCCGACCTGCTGGTTAATCTGTTACGCATTGGAAACTGGGGCTGACGGTAACAGCCTCTCCCCTCCGGGGTAGAGGCGTCCAGGAATAAGACAAATAAATACTTGTGATGCGCTGTGACGGCTTTTCAGTAGAGATGAGGTCCCAGAGGCGAGGCCAGCTGAAGGAGTCGCAGGAGGGGTGGTTGGAAGTCTGTGAGGAGCAGGGGAGGAGGGCGCTCCAGTGGAGAAAGGGCCCTGCGCAGGGGCACGAGGTGTAGGATGCCCGGTGCCCAGTGTGGGGGGCGGAGGTTGGGGCGGGGTGCTGACGGCCATGCTGACAAGTGGGGACGCAGCCCTGCTGACCGTGGGCATCACCGAGGTTGGCAGTCTCATCCGTTCCAGCGACAGGATGGCTGGCCGAGACAGATCTTAGGTGAGACTCACTCAGGCCGTAGAGACTTGATGGCCATGTGGAAATTCTAAAAGGCAAGTTGTGTGGTGACACTAGTGTGACTTTAAAGTGGGGTTTATTGAAAAAGAACTTTACAGCCAGTCCTTTAAAAGATGGAGAGAGGTGGTTAGTAACATCCTTCTGTTGCTGAGGTTCTCTAGGGGTGAAGTACTCACGGTTTTTCATGGTGACAGGCGGAAGAGAAATCTGGGGGAGCCCAGGTAAATTCCTGGAGAATGGGAGTGAGAGCTCAGTGGGCGTGGGACGGGTGAATCACTGAGATGGACAGACAGCAGCGGAAAGAAGGAAAAGGCAGTGTGGGTGCACTGGAGGAATGCAGCGGGAGAGGAGCTGGTGACTGCAGAGCCAGTCCGTGCGGCTCACTGGCTGTGGCTGGCGGGTGGCCATGACAGGCTGTGCACTTGTCTCCTCAGGGGTCTCTCTCTTTGGCTTGTCGGCCCTGGTGTTACCTGGGAGCTTCGAGTCCCACCTAGAACTGGTGAAGTCACTGGGCCTGGGGCCGGCGCTGATCCACACGGCCAAGTTTGCTATCACCTTCCCTCTCGCCTACCACACCTGGAACGGGGTCCGGCACCTGGTGAGTTCGTGGAGGTGGGCATGTCTCCCCGGGGGGTGGGAGTCACGGGGCTGGTAGGACCCTGTCCTTCACTGTCTGGGTTCAGTGCTGTCCTGAAAGTTGCTGGTGTGGGGCCTCGGCTTGGGGGCCTGCGGAGGAACTGACCCGGACGTGTGTCCCCGGGCAGCCCTGCGGGGCGGAGCTCAGTGCTGTGAGGCCTGGCAGATACTCTGCCCCTTTTCAGAGGGTTGCTCGTGAAAGAGGCCCCTGCAGCCGGGTCCTGCGTGTGGCACGGAGGGCGCGCGTGTCACACACGCACTTGGCCCCTGCCGTGCCCGGCACAGGGTTGCAGTGCGAGAGGATGAGCAGCTGCTGCTTCAGCCCCGTCGCCCAGAGCGAGAGCTGGTTCTGGCCCTTGTTTTGAGCTGTTGGAAAAGGTGGGCCAACTTCAACAGACCTTGGGGGCCTGGGGCCAGAGTGTGCTCTTGGCTTTAGGCATCTTTTGGGGGCCTGAGGACTGTCCTCTGTTCAGAGGGGTCTGTTCAGACAGGCGTCCCATCTCATAAAGGAGATGGCCCTCCCCCAGCACTTCGGGCTCCCAGACACTGTCCTCTCCTTGCCCTTGGCCTTGCTGTCTTATTCAGGGAGACGCGTACTTCCATTTCTAATGGTTTCCATTACTTCTCAGGCCCACAGTGCTTGTGCCATAGTCTGACCTTTGATAACCCTGCTTTAGAGCCCAGAGACAGGCACTCTGTGGACGTCAGCCTGGTCCAGTAGCCGGGTCAGTGGATAGAAAAGTGAGCGTGAACGACCTGTGCCACTCGGCCTGTCTGCCAGCTGGTCCCGGGGCCCCACCCAGTGGTCCAGGGTGACAGGACTTCCCTGAAGGGGCAGGTCCGGAGGAAGGGCATTTCCTGCCTGGACTTCTTATCCCAAGAACCGAGCTCTCTCCTGAGATCAGTGACTCACTTCCTCAGTCACCTCCTGGCCCTGGCAGGGATGGGGGTGTGGGGGGGTGCTTTGCAGAATCTCAGAGCTCAGGGGAGGCTTTTCTTATGCTCAGTGAGCTTCTGCTTCTCTTCTGAGTGCAGAACAGGGCTTCTGTTGTCTGTGATGGCTGTAGCTCTGTGGGCTCGACTGTCACCTTGCAGATGAGCAGTGGGGAGTGGAGAAGCAACAGGGTCTCAGGCGTTCTGGAGAGCTACCACCCCCTGACCCCACACCTGTCACCGCCACCAGCAGTTCTCTGGGAAGTCTGCAGTCAGATGTTTGCAGATTCAGCCACAGAACTTCCCTGTGTGTGACCCTTTTGGCTTCCTGAGGGCCTAGGGTTTAGAGGGACATTCTTTGAGCAACACTGGTTTGGGCGTCTGGATGTCTGCAGGTGATGGTGGGCGTGGGGAGGAGGCTTTTCTCCGGACCCCAGCTGATGGAGGTCTCCCTCTGAGAAGGGAGCTGTGACAGTGACTGGGCTCCTGCTTGCTGACACTCTCTCCCTTTTCCTCTCTCCTGCAGATGTGGGACCTTGGGAAGGGCCTGAAGATCCCCCAGCTCTACCAGTCAGGTGTGGTGGTCCTGGTTCTCACTGTGCTGTCCTCCGTGGGTCTGGCGGCCATGTGAGAGGCTCGAAGCCGCGTTGCGTCCTCCCACAGATGATTATTGGGCCTGACTTCCTTTTGTCACCCTCCCTCCAGCCGGGGCAATGTCTCCCAATGTGTCCGACCCTTTTGTGCTTGCAGTTGCCCCAGAAGTTCAGCAGCAGAGTCCCTTAGAGAAGCAGGGCCCAGTGTCCCTCGTTCCTAGAGGTGGAGTAACACAGGGACTTTCTTCTCCTGCCCCCGTGTACAGCCGGCTCAGGGCCTGGGGGGCCCCTCTCCTGGGTTCGTGCTGAGGATCAGTTCATGGTGCCTTCTTCCTGAGACAGTGGAAACAAAGCCGGCTCTGTGGCCCTGCTGTGGGGACTGGGGTGGGGCTCTGGTTGCCATGGCCTGTGGGCTGCTGGGTCTCCCGCACCCATGTGGTGGGGGTTGGGGAGCTGGCTGGTCCCTGCCAGAGGGGCAAAGAGGGTGAGTTGGCTCTCAGAGGATGTGCTTTGGGGAGAAGATACATAGTTTTTGATCGAGAGAAAGATCCAGAAGATCATTGTTGAACTTGTGGTTATTTTTTTTCTTGCAGTTTCAGCAAAACAAGCCTCTTATTGTCATGTTTTCTAATCCAAATTTATGTGATTTTTCTGAGATTAATTAAAAAACTCATTTCATCTTTGACGCTCCTTATAGTCGAGAGCAGCCTGGGCAGGGAGTGGCGGCTGAGGGGGGCTGGCTTCCTCCTTCTGGTCACTGGCCTTGCTTGATGGGGAGATGGTTTGTTTTACAGCTGGAAGACACTCAGGGACTCAGATTTGGGGGCCAGAGAGTCACTGTCGCAGAGGCTCAGGAGCCTCAGAGATGGAAGGAAGTCACAGATAGACAGAAGGACAGACAGATGGCAGATGGAGAGCTGGGCAGTCCGGCTGCCGCTCCCACTGAGCACAGCCGTGGAGCTGAGCCTGGAGGGAGCGGGGGCAGGGCAGGTGGGACTGAGAGCTGAGCTAAGGACGGAGGTTTGGAGAGAGGAAGACAAGGGAAGAGCAGGGATGGCCAACAGCCTGGCAGACGTCTCCACCGAGGTGGAGACTGGCTGCTTTCAGGGCCCAGAGCCCAGGCCTTCGGGCCCCAGCTCCCGTGCAGGGTGCTGCTGTGGTGCTGTTGGCTGGGCAGGGAGAGCGTGGGGTGGGGAGGAGGATGGCGAGGCAACTAAGTGGGTCCCAGGGAGGAAGGCCCTGCTCTGGTGTGGCCCTGTGGTGGGGACCTGCTGCCTGCACGGTGGCCTTTGGCTGTAAGTGATGATCCTGGCTGCCTTCCTGCTAGACTGGTGCTGCGAGGTCTTGGTCAGCGTCCCCGCCTCCTGCTGGTCATCCTCAGTGCTTGTCCTAGGACTGAGGTGTTGTCCATGGGGCGCACTTGGCACTGGGGTGGGAAAAAGCCGGGCAAGGGCATAGGGCTCAACAGCCAGTGGCGGGAAGGTGCAGCCCAGGGCGGCACCAGATGGGCTGGAGGCGGGGAGGTGGGCAGGGGTCTGGGGCTGGTCGTCCCGTTTGTATTCTGTCCTAACCCTTCTCCTCCTTTGCTTTTGTAACGGATGTGTTTGCCCTCAGTTGCTCTCAGTGACCCTTAGACAAGGGGAGTGTCTCCCGCCGAGGCTCTGGTGTCTTTCCCTTTCACCTTGCCTGCACACGCTTGCTTGCTCGCTCGCTCTGCTGCACCAGGTTCCAGCTGACCCCGGGCGTGCTTGGGGGGGACAGACGAGGGTGGGCTGGGGTGTGCTGTGGTGCAGACCAGCTTCCCCTGGGCCATCGCTGGGATGGACCCCACTGGCTCTGGGTGCAGATGGGTCCTGTAGTCTGTCCCGTTCCCTGAGCCTGGACAACAGGTGTTCTTCCTCTCTCCCCAACCCTCCTCCCGGTTACCGGTGACGAGAGGCAGCCATAGCTGGGGGTGGGAGGGATTCCAAATCAGCTGAGAGTCAAACGATGTTTATTTTCCAAATTTGCCATCATTCCCATAATTCCCCTGACTGGGGTCTTGCTTATTCCTTCACTCTGTCCCTAGAAAGGTTTCCTTGGGACATCCTTCCGGCAGTCTCGTGTTGGCATCTTGGGGCCCTGGCTGGACTAGCACCTGCCAGTGTGGGAGGTACAGGGGCTCGCAGGAGAGGCTGGGCCTGGGGGGCCTGGGGTGTGGCCTGCAGAGGGGTGCTCGCTCTGGGCTGGGGTTGGGGAGCCCGGGTTCGAGGCTGGGGAGCTGGGGCTTGGGGCTGGACTTGATGGTTGTTTTCCAGAGTTCGGGGGTTGCTTCCGACTGTCTGGGTCCCCGGGCTGCAGAGGGAGGAACAGGAGACAGTCTGGTCAGGTCAAGGTCACTTCGGCCCACCCAGAACCCTAAGTCTCCATTTCCCTGGGAGAGGTAGAGTCGCTGGTACATTGACCTCCCCGTGAGCTTGGATCAGCACCACTTAGTGCTGTGCGTAGGATGTCCCTCAGGTAGGATGTTCCTCAGACCCACATGCTCCAGGACTAGGCCGGGAAGATGATGGGGCAGAGCCCCTGCCGAAAGAGCGGGGGAATAGCAGGTGCACGCTGTTGGAGTTGAGACCTCGGGGTTTTCCGTGCGGTGGGAGGAGTAGGTACCTTGCCCAGGATTTCTGGACACAGCCCGTTGGAGGCCTTGAGGAAGGCGGGATCCTTCTGTATCCATGTGGTGAGGGAGGCGGCGGCGGCAGCGGAACGGGACGTCAGAGACACCCGAGCAGGGGGAATCTTCAGAGGCATCTGCCAGGTGCCCACGAAGGAACCCCAAGGACTTGCCTAAAAGGAAGAAGACATGTCGCTCACCCCCAGAAACTGACCTGTTGGCAGGACCCGTGTTCGCTTATTTCCACCTTTACCTTTGGGGTGGGGTAGAAATGAAACAAGTCCAAAAGCATCCCCCCACCCTGCCCAGGTTACCCTGTTTTGTCCGTTGACCCTTGCTGGCTCCATCCTGGGTCCTGGGGCTACACCGGGTGGAGTGCCCACTGGTAAGTGCCACCCACAGGCACTCACTCGATACAGGTTGTCCTGCTGGGGGAACTGGCGGGAGTCTGGGGCGCTCACGTTGCAGTATGAGTTAGAAGGAATTTTGGCAGCCGGAGATTCTCCCCCCTCTTGCTGTGGGTCTCGGAGAGAATGGAGGTGAGGGTCTTACCTTGGAACGGGGCACTGAAGGCAGCAGGTGACCACGGTCGTTGGCGATGACCTGGGTGTAGCCTTCGTGGGCTGGGATGCGCTGGGGTGGAAGTGGGGGGAAAGTGCTGGGGGAATGGGCTGGGAAACGGGTAGCTGAGGGCGAGGGGTGTGTGGGGAGGGAAAGTGAACCACACAGCACCGAGCACAGAGCCAGAACCCGGCCTGGGGGCGCTGAACTGAACGGGAAGGAATACCTCCTTGGTTGGCTTGGCCGGAGACCAGTTCTGCAAGTACTTGGGTGAGAAAGCTTTTTCATACTGTGGAGAGAGCCGAGCATTGCTGTGAGGCCCCCAGACCCCAAGCCCAGGAGGTGGCGATGGGAGGCTTTAGCGAGGACGTTGTGTGTTTGGTCTAAATGTGTTTGGGTCCCATATGGAGCCTCCAGCCACCCACAGCCGCTTTTGGGCACTTGAAATGTGACAGTCCACAGGGAGGTGCTTTGTCAATATCAAATACACCGGATTTTAAAGAGTTCATACACAGAAGGGAATGTAGAACATCTGATTATAACTCTTAAAGTGCTGATTGAACCCTGGCTGGCGTGGCTCAGTGGATTGAGTACTGGCCTGTGGACGGAAAGGTTTACGGTTCGATTCCCAGTCAGGGCACATGGGGCCAGTCCCCCAGTTTGAGAGGCAACAAAGTAATGTATCTCTCAGACATCAGTGTTTCTTTTCCCCTCTCTCTAAATAAAATCAGTTGATTAAATGTTGAAATAATATTTTAGGTTTATTGGGCTAAATCAAATGTTTATTTTAAAAAGGTTTATGTAGCTACTAGAAAATTAAAACTGCATTTGTGATTCACAGTCTTTTTATCAGACAACTCTTTCCTAGACCGGTGGTCAGCAAACTGTGGTGGTGGGCTGGGCCCGGTCTGTCTGCTTTGGGACCACCCGAGAGAGCCATGAATGGTTTTCATAGATGAACGTTTGCAATTGATTTGCTGGGAGGAAACAGTAACTTTGAGTCCCAATTAAGCAAAATGTTTCTCCCAAAAGAATTTTGTTCTTTTCATTAGTATTGTATAAAAGTTGCTCTCAGTTGTATTTTCTGTCATTAACGTGAGTACCTACACGGTACTTCTGATGTCATTTGGCCGACAAAGCCTAAAGCCTTAGGCCCTGGCCCTGTGCAGAAAGCTGGCCGCCTTCCGGTTCAGACCTCACAGCCAGCCGGGGTCGCCTCCCGCGGACCCTGGGCCCCCTGCCCAGTACAGTCTCGCCCCACCTGCCACCCGCGGGGTCCAGCCCCAAGACAGACTCTTGAAGGCAAAACTAAACCCGTCAGAGAACCGGCGCTCACCTGGTTGGCGCTGTAGTTGGCCATGGTCCTGCGACTTTAGCTGTTTACCTTGGTTGCCTGGCAACCACGAGGCCCGCCTCTCAATGAGGCGCCTTTGGGGGCGGGGGAGGGGGGTCCTCCCTCGCTTCTGCTGCCTTGGACGCTGCGGCCGCCCCCACCTTTTTCCTGGAAGCGAAGAGGAAATGCACACCTGGAACTCGGCGGAGCTGCGGCCCTGTCTTCCTCTCTAGCACGCCTCACTGCTGCTGATAACTGCCAGGGGCCTTCGACTGCAGTCCCGCCTTGGTGACAAGCCCGGCGCTGTCACAGCTCAGCCGGGGGCGGCTGCATCTCCCAGCACGTTGACGAGGAGCAATGTTTCCAAAGGGGTTCGACTCAACATCTGCCCCCGAAGGAAGAGCGTAAGTTTTCCGTGGTCGTCAGGGGGCGCCGTGTCCTCCGTCCTCGGGGATCACAGGTGAGCTGCTGGTCCGATGCAGCAGGTGAGCAGCGGGGGCTGGGCCCTGGCAGCACCGCGACAGAAGGCCTGTGGTGCCGGGACAGACGTCTGGCCTGCCATTTCCTGTGAGGGCACCGACCTTCCTCTCTTGGAAACTGCTGTTAATTCCCCCCAGTCCGTGCCCCGTAAAAAAAAAATAATTCTTTTTAAAAATTACTTATTGATACTTTTAAGAAGGGGGAGAGAGAGAGTGTGCGCACAAGAAACATGGATTTATTATTGCACTTACTGATACTGCTTGTTGCTGCTTGTATGTGCCCTGACCAGGGATCAAACCTGCAACCTTGGTGTTTGATGCTCTAACCAACTCAGCTACCTGAACAGGGCCAGGAAAATATTTTTGATAGCGCTTCCTGAGGAGTCTAGAGGACAAGCCGCAGTCACCCAGAACTACTGAAGAGAGACACTGGTGTCTGTCCCTGGCAGTGACAGTGAACTTAGGTTTACTTGCGCAACTGAGAATAGATGGGTATAGTGGAAACTGTGGCATGTGCTCCGCAATTACAGGGTGACCTCGGAGTCTGGAAATGGATACTGCCGTTTCACCCTCTGTGTGTAAAGCACAGCTGTCAGCGCGGGAGAGCAGGGGGGCTGCGTGAGAGGCAGAAGGAGCCCTGTCGTCAGAAAGGGGTAGTAACAGGGAATAGAAGCGTCCGCCTGGGGTCCGGTGCCGGGGCGGGGCCATGGCAGGGGCACTGAGGTTCTGTGCGGGAAGCCCCCAGCCCCTTCCTGCTTCTCGCCTGTCAGACTGCAGCACACGACACTCCCAACACCAGGTGTGCGGGGTTTTCCTCGCACCAGGCCATCCTGTGACACCATTTAGCTCAATTCTGACACCTGGAGAGAGCAGCTGGCCCCGCCAGTTAAGGGCTCAGTCCCATGAGGTGGCCCCCACCTCAGATGTAAGTCCAGCTGTCCCCTGTGCTTCCCACTGGTTCCCGTGACCCCCTCCTCGGGGCTAATTGATTTGCTAGGGCAGCTCACAGGACTCAGGGAAACGCCTAACTTACTGTTTGCAGAAGAACTTACCGATACAGGTGTGCGTCCAGGTAGGAGAGACGCGAGGTTGGGGACTGCGCGGAGGGGCCAGGCCTCCCCTCGGGCTCGCCTGCACCGACCACTCACCCGGGAGCTTCATCACACAGGCACATGGGAGAATGGGGCAGGGGGTTGGGACTGAGAAATCCCACGTTTCTGATCGTGGCCTGGCCTTCCAGGTGACCAGCCCCCATTTGGGAGCCACCCAGAGTCACCTCATTAGAACAAAGACAAGTCTATCCCTAGGAAATCGCAACAGTTTCAGGAGCGCTCTGCCCGAAAGGTGGAGGGAGGGCAGAGACCAGTGTGTCAATGCACACTTACTCTGTCCTCACACGTGCTCCAGCAGACGATAGCCCAAAAGAGGCGTGTGCGTTGCCTAGAAGTATTAGCATAAAGGTGACCATTAGAATGAAAGACAAACTCCCTAAATCCAGAAAGTATGTTTAAAAGGGGGAGGGGAAGAGGAGAAATTTTAAAACAATGAATTTTACTCCTGGGTCAAACAAAGGGAAAATTCAAATAGGGTTTTTTGAAAATAGTAGTAATGAAAACCAGAATCTATGGGAAATAGTTTAAACAGCTATTATAGAAGGATTTATAATATTAAATACCTACATGTACGTTAGAAGGTGAATTTGTAAGTAAACATACTTAGAAAACTAGTGGCAAAAAGGTTAACCCCAGGACAGCAGAAGAAAGAAAGGAGAAAGAATGAGAGAGACTAATGGGGTTTGAACACCAGCAAAAATAGCACGAACAAATAAAAAACTTTCTTTGGGAAAATAAAATTGATAGCTAAGCTACTCAAGAAAAAGGGAGGCAGCACAGTACATGAAATTAGAAATAAAGAGACACAAGAGGAAATAGTAAGAATATTCCGTGTAAGTATATTGGAAAATCCCCATTAAATGGACAATTTTGGAGAAAAACAATTTAACAAAATTGACCCCTGGGGAGAAAGAAAATCTAAACAGACTATTTAACATAAAAGAATTGGAGTTTCCCCACAGAGCAAAATAAGCCCAGATAGTGACACTAGAGGATTATATCAAACTTTGCAAAAAAAATTAACTTACAAAATGATTCGAGAGCAGACAAAGGAAGACTCCCACAGTCATGTTGTGAAAGAGGTGTGATATTGAGTCCCAACTCTGCCCTTTGGAACTGTGACAAAGACTATAACAAAAAAATACTGTAGACATTTCATTTATTAACACTGATGCAAAAATGTATCCAACATCATGTTTAAAAACATTAAGGCAACGCCCTTCTAGTTGCTCAGTGGGGTGCTGCCCAGTTTGTGAGTGCTTAATAAAGGCAATTCGATCTTCCAGTTAAAAAAAGTTATGACCAAGTGGTGAAGCAAGGGCAGACAGTCACGTTAGGGAGTCCATTAATGTCATCTATCGTATTACTTGATCCAAGGTGAAAGGAAGTATGATTATATCCACAGATGCAGATTAATGGGTTTTAATACAACAACAAAAAGCAAAAAGGCAACTGAGAAAAAATAAGTTAAAATTCTATTACAGAGTGTTGATATCTCTGATTTTTAAAAAGCTTCTAAAAGTACAGAAGAAAAAGACTAAAAACCTTACAGAAAACCGGGCTAGATGTATAGTCAGACATACCACAGAGAAAGAAAAATTTTTGTTAACCTTATGAAAAGATGTTCAACATTGCTCAAAAAATTTTTTTAAATGCAAAATAAAACTCATGAGACTGGCTCACTTGCCCTGACTCTGAGGAAACAAGCATCCTAGCAGGAGGCTGCACGTGGAGACGAGAACTGGCAGAAGCTCTGTGACGGGGAACGGGGCGATCTCTGGCCGGAGCAATGAGCAGTGAAGCAATCCCACGCGCAGAAATCTGTCCCAGAGACACTCTGGCAAAACTACGAAGAGCGGTGGACGCTACCAAACCCAGCATTGCTTGTAGCTACAGATGGGAGACATCCCACATGTCAGTCAAAGACCCCAGAGCCTCCCTCCACAATACTGAGTATTGGGCAACTTTCAGAATCAATGAGAAATGCACTGCTATAGAGTCATCCTCAAGACATACTTTTAAGTGAATAAAGCAAAGTGTAGGGCATGTGGATAGTATGCTATTGTTTATCAAAAAAAGGAGGTGCAAATATATGTATTTTAAATATAAAAGTGATGGAAAATTAAATGGTATAATTAAACAGTGATTACCTCCAGGGAGAGAGAAGATAGAAGGTGGAAAGTGTGGGGTAGAAAATAAACTTCTTTGAATGTACCTTGTTCTGCAGAGTTGATTTTGGAACCACACAAACATTTTACACAATTACAAAATAAAAGCAGTTTCTAAAATAAAAACAAACTCATTATTTTCACAAGTTTTTTTTTTAAAGAGATAGTTGGCTACAGTACAAAAGCTATATAAACAAGTTAACATCACCTATTTCCTATCGTTTTCTTTCTTGAGACCCAGTCTCCCTCTAGCGGAGGCTGGTTTCAGAACTAGCTGCCCACATGCTGCCCCACACAGGAAGAAAAATCTTTTGCACATTGTCTGCCGCAGCCACGCCGTGCAGTAACTCAGGTACCAGAGTCCCCAGGAGGATACAGGGGAAGACAATGAGCAATGGAACAGCAGAGTCAGCGTCCGTCAAGCTTTAGAAGGAAATTCGGGAAGAGAGGTGTGAGAAGCCCTAAGAACCAGGAAGGTCTGGGTTGCTCAGCTCAGCATCGGGAAGAAACTTCAGCTTCCTTAGTGGAGGGTTCCCACGACCTCTGGCCAGCAAGAGGTCATACACACGCCACAACCCTGCGTGCAAGGGAGTAGCTCCCTACAAGGCTGAGGGAGAAACCCTGGTGAGAAATGGTGCTGGGCAGGAAGGAAGTCTGACTCTCCTGAGCCAGACCCTGCTGAAGGGGGCGAGTCCAGGCCCCCCTCTCAGCACACAGGACTGTCCCTGTCTCACCAACCACTGACGTCAGGAGGTGATGAGGGAAGGTGGTGGTAGGGGCAACCAGAGACTAACCAGCCTGTATCCAAAGTGGCCTGTAGGGGGAATGAGGACAGAGACCTTGTGTCCTGGGCCACCCTGGGTCTCCTCTGGTCTCCACAGCGGAGGACCCTGTCTACGGGGAAGCCTTTAGGGTGGGCTGGGGAGGCCTGCGGCCTCCTCATGCGTCTCTGACCTTTACAGGTTTCAACAAGAATACAAAAAGCAATGATCATGAAAAACAGCCTAGTTTCCTGAGTTCATTTTCTGATCCTATAAAAGCTAACTTCTTACATAGTGAGATCGAATGCTATTTGTCTTTCTCCAACTTCTTTTCGCTTAGCCCAACTTTTTTTCACTTAGCCCTCAAGTTCATCCATGCTGTCAGAAAAGGCAGGATTTTATTCTTTGTAATGGATTGATAGTATTCCATGGTGTGTAGCACATCCTTTTTATCCATTCATCCGTCAGCAGATGCTTAAGTTGTTTCTAGGTCCTGGCTATTGTAAA